AATATGGCGGCGGTGGTGGTTGAGGCAGGTGCATCTCGTTATTTTGCAGATGGAGGTGGAGGCTACGGGTGGATGCGACGCAATCAGTGGCGGAGGCAGAGGATCTAATGCAAGAGGATGCACGAGCGTACGGTGGTGAAGGCAAACGATTAATCTCTGTTCTTGGTAGTTAGTTCTTGCTAATTCTTGCATTTGACCGTCCAAAGCATTTCTTTTTTCAGATTGGAGATGTTATATTTCTTTCGGCAAGTGAAAATTTTGAATTTTTGGATTTTTTTTTCGCAAGATGTCGCTTGTGTTCTTCGTATATGCTGTGTAATTATTGGGTTTAGAGAAACAACAGTATCGGAACGGAAGTAGTTATTGGGGGCACTTTAGTATTTTCACGCTACTACTAAACTTGCATATGGAATATAGGAGTGGCTCTTTTTAGGACGGATGAAATACGTCATACATAGGGGTGGATGTCGAGCTGGCTCGGCTCGACTCGGTCTGGCTTCCTAACGAGCTAGAAATCAAGCTCGGCTCGGCTCGTTTGTAAGCTCGAGCTAGCTCGTGAGCTTTGGGGACAACTGGACAAGAGAGAGCGAACAAAGGGTGGAGAGGTGTCGTGGAAGAGCGACGCGAGCGGCGGCGTCCACTGCGGCGTCGGGCGCCGGGGAAGGTCCACGGCCGCGTCGGGCGTGGGTGGCGGCGTCCACTGCCGCATCGGGCGCCGAGGAAGAACAGCGCGGGCGGCGGCGTCCATGGCCGCGTCGGGCGCCGTGGAAGAGCGGCGCGTGCGGCGGCGTTTGCGGTGGCGTCGGGCGCTGGACGAGAGCCGCGCGGATGGGAAGGACGACGACGCATCGCTAGCGCGCAGGTCTGCGCGTGGGAAGCGTGGCGGCGGCGGCGTTGCTTAACCTGCTTGTGTGCTTGTTTTAGCCTAGGGTTTGGCATATCAAGGGCTGTGGTGGGCCTCGTGGATGATTGGGCTGCTACTAAGCCTCGTTTGATGGGCTGTCCACTGGTGGGCTTCAGCTCGTTTTGGCTCGCGAGCCAGCTCGAGCTGGCTCGCTATGACTAACGAGCTAAAATGTTGGCTCGGCTCGTTACAAAATTTAAACGAGCCAAGCCGAGTCGAGCGTGTCACGAGCCGAGCGAGCTAACGAGCCACGAGCTTCCTGTCCACCCCTAGTCATATATGTATCTCAAGGATAGTTTCAAACTTTCAATCTTTGAGGTTTATTCTCTGCATGTGTCCTCGTGTTAAGTGTTAGGGTAGTACTATTCCATTCAACAATTTGGTTTGGGCTAGTATGTTTCATGCATAAATTATTAACGAGTGATTAATTAATTATTAACTATTTTAAACTTAAAAAGGATTTATTATTTGATATTTTTATTAAACTTTTATATAGAAACATATCATTAAGCAATTAAAAAGTGTTAACGGAAAAAAAAAAGTTATCATGAGGAGCTGCTCAAAAGTACTCAGCTTTAAGTCAAGTAGCATCGGGGGTACGTACGTGGAGCCACTGCCCGGCTAGCTAGCCCGAGCAGCTGTCTGAGCTCATCGATGAAAACTCCATTAAGATTTAATATTGATTAGTAAATTGATGATGAAATTTTTTTTAGCAAATACTAATTATATTAAAATTTGCCTGAATTCAAAACTATTTCGGGTTATGTCACTGAGTGGCATGTATTTCCTATAGACATACCGGACGCCTAACACAAAAATCATAAATTCATTGAGCAGAGTACTCCTAATTCATAGATTTTACATGCCGTACATGCAAAAACCTCCATTGGACAGTGGACACTGCATTCAGGCAGTAGCGTGCCCAACTGCGTCGGGTTGCAGTCTGAATTCTTCACAAGAACATACTATTAAATCACATATAAAAGGTTTTAGAGTTGGATATGACTATTAAGAGAATATGTAAAATTAAATGGAAAGAGATTGTGATTGGTTGAGAAAATAATATTGGTGGAGAAGTTATTATATTTTGAGATAAATTTTAAGAGATAGAAGTTATTATATTTTAAAATAGGGGGAGTACGAGATACCACAGGGTGCGTTGATACACATTGATTGTGTTTAGTTCCTGAAAAAATCTGGAAGTTTGAAGAAAGTTGGGAGTTTGGAAAAAAATTAAAAGTTTATGTGTGTATAAAAGTTTTTTAATGTGATATGATGTGATGGAAAGTTGGGAATAGGGAGAAAACTAAACACGGCCAGTTGGGAGTTTGGAAAAAAAATTGAAAGTTTATATGTGTATAAAAGTTTTTGATGTGATATGATGTGATGGAAAGTTGAGAATATGGGAAAACTAAACACGGCCATTGATGGAAGTGCCTGCAACTGTACAATGTTGGGAGTGGTACACATCTTCACAGATACTGCACGAACCGTCGTTTGCTTACCCTTGTTGCTGCTCGCTTGTGTATCTCGTAGGGTGCCCAACAGTATCCTCGTGGATCCAAAAATGCCGGCCATGGCTGCTGCATTGCCATGGCATCTTGTCCAATGTCCATCAATGTCTTGCTTGCTTGCTGTAGAGCCTCCCAATACGGCAGCTTATAGCTACAGAGGTGACAAAGTAGAGGAACAGAGATGACAAGAGTCAGTCGATATTGATCAGGGTTGGCATCAACCACATGACATGATTCTAGAGGAGTGAGTACTGAGTAGTGATGAGCTAATGATGAGAAGATGTGATCATGAGTTCAGGTAAGTTTGGTGCTAGAAGCTGCTACATATACTCCTATGGTTGTTGAATTTGGGATAGCTGTTTTGGTGCTAGAGAAGGTGCTTGCTGGTTAGAATTGCTAGCTGTACAAAATAAGTGGAAAAGAAATGAAATGTAATTCTTTGGTCAAGTGGTAGAAACGGGCTTTCCCTCTTGATTTCCTACCGGAGGTTCGTGTGAAATAGATTATTAATTTTCACTAGACTATTAAGAATAAATTAAATATTTTAAGAAATAAACTTAGCAAATAGCTTGAAACAACTGTTCTAAATAATATAGTAGAAGAAAATTTATTTTCCAAAGTATAGAACAATTAAGCCATTTTAATAATACGGTGAATAATTTTTCATTGAAAAAATAGCCTTAGGTGCACATGGTTTTAGTCCAGAAGCCAATATACAAACATGACGTTGATTTTAGTTATGATATATTTCTTTTCAAGGGATGCAATGTTATTAAGCTTTAAATGACAAATTACAGCAGAAGAAACAGTTAATACTATAAATTAAACATAAAACTCTGCTTTGTCAAAAAAATACCCCAAAAAACATTGTTAAACATCTAGAACATAACCTGTTACTACAAATAGTGATTGTATTAGAGCCCTTTGTCTCTACAAGCTTCCGTTTTGTTTATACGATTACATAGGATAAACTGAACTGGGTTATTCAAGTCCATCTAGAAATGAAAATGGGAATCAAAATTGAATTGGGTTAGTCGTACATTGAAATGGAAACCGAATAAAATCTATTCCGATTGATGTTTTGTTTGGGCAACCTACAAATTATTTTCTTGGGAAGAGAGATATAGTACACATCAAAATACATCCCAGTGTGTGATGTGTCTCTGTGACACTTGCCTAACAACTAGAGGACGTCTCACAAAATTTATACTTTGTCCTATCCAAATTGAGGACATGAACCCAATTAGGTGGATTCACTTGCCTACAAACCCCATAACTTACCAATGTTGCTTCCAATGGATTTTGCACATTCACTTCCATCCATGTGACTAGTATTTGTCTAGGAGGGGCAGTTAGCACGTATGAAAGATTACAAATGTGGCCCTCTTTATGGTAAGAATAGGAATAACGATATGATGAATGGATTTTGCACATTCACTTCCATCTATGTGACTGTTTGTCTAGGAGGGGCAGTTATCATGCATGAAAGATTCCAAAGGTAGCGCAAAGCTTTATGGTAAAAATAGGAATAATGATATGATGGAAAGAAGACCATGAGGTATGAAAAGAATAGGAACAACAAAAATATGACGCGGGGTAGGAATGACGCCATATGCAGCATATAACATATTTTCATCTATAGCACAAATATTTTGTCAAATTGATCGATAGGCCCATGCATCAACCAGTACCAAGCTATGGTTTTTCCACCTCTATTAAACAATAATCAACAACTAAATTATCCCTAGAATAATACATCCATTTATCAATTTCTTTCTTTCAAAAAATTACATCAGTGATCTTCATATATCACACAATACAATAAAGCAATAGCCAAAAAATATCTATGACACAAAATGAGCAGCACTCCTCTATAAGAAATTAAATTCCTTGTTGAACACTTCTTTTTAACTACATATGTAGAAAATAAAAGTATCTATTTAAAAAAATACTTAATGTAACAAACGAAAATCTCGTTGGAACAAAATATTTGTGTAACAAGGAAAAAACGTGTTACAATTGAAATAAAGCTTCTGTTAAATGAATAATAATCTTTGATGCAACAAAATATTTGCTCACCAAAACACTTAATAAAGTATATTACACAAGAGAGTGGCTAGAGCTGAAGCCATATGGTAGTGACGTCTTCCATTCTTTGTTGATGCAGCGCTAGAGAAAAAAAGTTCACTCTCTTTAGAAACATGCCATGTAGAAAAACAGAAGAAGTTTATCAAGAAAGTAAGCGTAACACCAAATAGAACATGTACCGAAACATGCCATGTAGAAAAAACAGAAGAAGTTTATCAGGAAAGTAAGAAAAGCGTAACGCCAAATAGAACATGCACCGCGTCACTGCTGATGGGCCATGGCCCATAAACAGATAAACAAAACTTCCAATCGCATAATAATAATTTATACGGAACACCAACACCAAACCATCAATCGATATAATATCACTACGGTCATATAAAACACATAAAATAAATTATCATTCTCAATCAAAACCCCAACCTATAGGAAAAAAAAAACAAAGAAAAACAAACTCTGAAACCAAAGGGGAACCAAAAAAAAATCACATGAAAGACTAGGGTTTTTGCAACGCGGGGGCTTTTATCCGCGAGAAGCACCCGAACCGCCGCCGCCGCCCCTCCTCCTCTCTTCCCCCTTCCGCCCTCTCAGCCCTCGCCGACGACGAGGAGGAGAAGGCGGCGGCCGCACGCACGCCGCGCGAGAGGGGCAAGCAAAGCTCGGTGGTGGTGGTGGGGGGGGGGGGGGCGGACCGCGTCGCGCCCCCGGCGCCTCGGCGCCATCCGCCCCGCCGCGGGGGGCCTCAGGCGGAGGAGGAGGAGGAGGAGGCGAAACCCTAGCGCGGGGGGAGACGAGGTACGCGTCGATGCCTCTCTGTTTCGATTCTCGCGTCTCGTGATGGCGGGTCTCATTCGCGGAGCGGGGAGGGGAATCGAAACCCTAGGTGCGGCGTTCTTGCCATTTTTCGATAGCTGTGCGGTTCAATGAATTCCGAAACCCTAGGTGTCGCGATTGGTGCCATTTCGGCTCGATATATGGTCTTCGTGCGGGGGTATGGGGGATTCAAGGTGTGATCTTGCGGGATGTATTGGGCTCAAGATCCCCTTTTTAGGAAAAAAGTAGGGTCGAATCGCGGATCTGCGTAAATAGGAAAAAACGTCAACAAAACGGGTGGACGACGTCACCCACGCTATGGGGGGGTTCCCCCTACCCAGGCTGCGGGTCAAAATAAATCCATGATTTTTTGCCATGCCCAAAAAGTTTTTTAGGGGGTCATTTTTTTGCAAAATCTTGAATCCCCCCTTTGTGTATGTTGTAAGACTGTAATTAGGTTTCGTTTAAAAAACCCTAATTGGATGGGCAATTTTAGGAGATGTATGATGCATTTTGTGGGTGATGAGTATCACTGGGGATAGGGCTTCGTTAGCCTGCAAACATAATATAAATCAATAATCGATTTAAATCTTTCTGTTTAACCAGGCGACCACCCTTGATTGGTGTATCAGGACCAATACGTACATAGACATTGGAATTGATCTAAAGTGATTTATGCTTTTGAATGAGGTTTGCATCTTAGGGAAGTAACGAGGGTTGCTGATTAAATTTTACTTGTCTAGTTCTATGCTTTAGAAACTTTAGACAGCATAATCCCGATAATGTTATAAACCATAATCTGTATTAGTTCCCTGCATTCATAGTTCGACAACGTGTACTACTAGACGTATTCTTGGCTTTTTGCCATTTTCTCTGGTAGTGGGGTATTAATGGGTCTAGTGACTTGTAAAGCATGATTATCATCCTATTGCTCTTTCTATTTCGAACTTACAGATTGGAATGAGCATAAAGCCATATGTTAGTACTTTAGAATTAATCATTACTTGTACTGTATCTTATTATCCTGTCCTTTGTCCTTAGTAAATTTATAAACACTTACTGTATCTTTTTCGTTCAGTGCTGCTCAGGCCACTTTCAATAGATAAAGAAGTAATATCTTCATCAGTCCTTTCTCAATATAGTTGAGAGCGAGTTTACATGGCTATGATGCCAAGTGATTCATCACATCATGGAATTGTAGAAAATAGCCCATACAGAACTACCCAGGGCAGGAATGAGGAGACTGGTGAACTTGGTGCTTCATGGTATTTCAGTAGAAAGGAAATAGAAGAGAATTCTCCATCCAGGAGGGATGGCATTGATTTGAAGAAAGAGTCTTACCTCCGAAAATCATATTGTACTTTTCTACAAGATTTGGGCATGAGGCTTAAAGTGTAAGATCATAGTTGATTTAACTTATATTTTTCATTGTTGATGTTAACTTGTTCCTTTCAATCATTATTATGATCTTCAATTACCATGATGCATGCATTTCTACTTTATTATTTTCAAAGGATGCTAAACTTAACTGAAGTATATCTATTGTGGTTGTAATTTGTAAGCCGTTAGCTTATTTTTGGTCTGATTTGTTCTAATAAGCTTGATCAATCTATTTACCCCTTTGTTTGGACATCCATGTGAGATCCATTTATGTGTATATAATCAACATAGAAGCAGAAGATGTTTTTTTATCTCTTTCAAATTTATGAGGACCTGGTAATTGTTTGGTTTCGACTTGTTGAATGTGTATATTATCAAAATATGGAAGCAGAATGTGTGCTTTATATCATTGATTTTAGCCCTTGATTGCCATGCAAATTGTTCTGGTCATGTGAATACTACATATTGTTTAGTTTTTCTTATTTATGGAGTATAATATCATTCTGTCTACTTCCAATCAATGACTGCCTTTTGTTCTGTGGTAGGCCACAAGTCACTATTGCTACAGCTATTGTGTTCTGTCACCGTTTTTACCTTCGTCAGTCCCATGCAAAAAATGATAGACGAGTAAGTACTTTCAATGCTTGGTTCGTTCCTCCTTTTGTGGTTTTATGGATGGCTATTTCTCTTTTAGTTAGTAGCCTTTATATTACAACGACATATTTGCATTTTTTATCTAGTTCTAAAACATGTTTAACAAGAAAATGGTTTCCTTCTGTATGGATAGTAATGTAGGAGCGATGAAAACTGCAATATTTTATAGATATAGAAGTTGTGTCGCGGGGAAGTACATACTTTGACATTTGCATTTTACGATCACAAGAGCTATGGGGACTTCATTACTTAATTTATAGGGACTGAAGTTGTTGTTATTAGTGCAGTTAAAGCGAAAAGTACACTAAGACGCAATAGTATTATATTGCCTCAGGTACAAAGCATTAAAAAGTGTGTGCCTTAGACACATGGAGCACAATATAAAAACATAAATGTCTACCCCTAAGTAGGAAGCTCCATGCCTGATTCTGGCAGCTGACCAAAAACAAACTAATAGTTAAGAAATATATAACGGATAAGGTCCGAGACTAGCAAACTGCAATTCAAGTAGTTTTTGGCTGCTATAATATACATAGCGTGCCACATTAATAAAGTTCTGCTAAGAAGTTAATAACCTAATCCTTCAACAAAAGATGCCCAAAATATGAGTCCTGAATCAAGCTGGCAGAAAAAAAGAAGGCAGCAGGCGTCTGAGCGCCTTGTTCTTAAGCCTAAAGTTGGCTCACCAACGGCATTGTGCTTTAAGCTACTCTAGGTGCTTTAGTTGCGACCCTGCGCTTCGCTTGCTTTTGCATCTAGGCGAGCGCCTTTTGTGCTTTTGACTGCACTGTTTGTTATGAGATAAAAGTACCACATATATTTGATAGTTGTTGGTGGAGGTTACGGATTAATGATCCAGATTAAAGTTGACCAGTGGTTGCCCCATTATCAATCTTCTATGTAGTTAGGAGTTAGGGGAGCATTGGTGAGTGGTGTGAAAAAGTTGTCCCTACTGTAACATTGGAAAATTTTTACATTTCCCAAGGTTTTGCTATAAAATGAACGAGAGAACCAATGTGAATGGAAACCAAGCAAGGATATGATACCGCTAAGGCGGTAAAGCATTTATAAAGCTACCACGGGATTCTCAAACGGAACACCTCAATCTTCTGCGCTATCTGTGTGCAGACCAGCTGGCGAATCTTGAATGCTTTTAGCCATCACATGTATAATACAACACTTTCATATTTGATTTAAGCTAATACACATGAAAGCATTGAAAATCACATGAAAAAGTGGGAGATGCTTCCGGATAATGCCTTAAATGTTGGAATTAACTGGAACAAATATAATGTAGAACTTGCTATGTCTATAGTATTGTAGTGTCAAAAGCTCAGAGCTATAACCAGAAAGAGAAATGAATACAAATTCTTACTGCCAATGGAAAGAGACAGTATTGTAGTGCATGTGAGTTTGTTTTACTTGTCCTGAGATTGTTTAGTATTTTGTACCATGTATCAAACGAAATAATTTTCTATTCTCATTTTCCTTGCATTCTCGTGTCGCAAACTTTTGATTGCATGATCTTAATTTTACTCCTATGTTAAGTGTTGTCCTATAGATCTGTACCTGTTTGAAGAGAGAACTTATAATTTGTACTGACCGTTCTTACAGACAATTGCCACAGTTTGCATGTTCTTGGCTGGAAAAGTTGAAGAGACGCCTAGGCCTTTGAAAGATGTTATTCTGGTTTCTTATGAGATTATTCATAAAAAGGATCCTGCTGCTGGTCAGAGAATCAAGCAGAAGGTAACAATAAACTAGATGCTTCTTTTGCTATATACTTTAATTTTATGAATTTGTTTTCTTTCTTGCAAAAAAAAATCCCTCTGATCTGCATTTGGCAGCAGGACCATCCGTTTTGCCTGATATTTAGTTTTCTTTGATGTTCTAAGTATTTTGACTGTTCAATTTCCTGGTAAACATTACTGGCTATATTGGCAACTATTACCCATCGCCTTTTTGATTTTTTTGCGGCATTTTTGAATCCTAGAATTTATCTAATGGAAGAATCAAGAATGTGAGGTTAAATTACATGTAAACAAATTTCAACATCTGACAGTTATTCATTGTATTATATCATGTTGGTTGTGATTAAGTTAACCATCAAGGCATCTGCCTGTGATAATTACTTCCGTCCTGGTTTTACTGCGTGCATATGTAAAAAAAAATGGAAGTAAATAGTCACCATTGTATGCTTCTATTCTCAGCTAATGCTTCTTGAAAACAATCCAAGGCTAGCATATAGGGTTATAGCGTTTATGACTCCTGATAGTAGTATAGGCTTTTTCCCTGCACGTGATATTTCCTGCTTTGGGAGATTGTCTGGACGGAGTTATTTTTCTTCCTGCACCAGGCAATGATTTCCACTGGGATGCTTTAATGAATGGTCTGTAATTGTCTCTGCAGGAAGTATATGATCAACAAAAAGAACTTATTTTACTTGCGGAGCGAGTTGTACTTGCAACTCTTGGGTTTGATTTGAATGTGCATCATCCATACAAGCCTTTGGTTGAAGCAATAAGAAAATTTAAAGTTGCTCAAAATGCGCTTGCTCAGGTTGCATGGAATTTTGTCAATGATGGGTATGCTATTGATACCCTTATTATCTTTAGAGATATCACTCAATCATGTATATAACACGTTAAAAAGGGCGTATATTGTACAGGCTGCGTACTTCGCTTTGCCTGCAGTTCAAGCCTCATCATATTGCAGCAGGTGCTATCTTTTTGGCTGCTAAATTTCTCAAAGTGAAGCTTCCATCTGATGGTGAGAAGGTTTGGTGGCAGGAGTTTGATGTGACTCCAAGACAGCTGGAAGGTTGGTGCCTAGATAATGTTGTGTTCTATACTTCTATCTGGTCCATATGACGGTTTACAACAATCTCCTGAGTTTTAAACCGCATATTTTTTTTAACGAGCATGTTGACTAGGTTGCTTTGGTACCTTACTGCTGGCTGCTGAAGCAGTTAATGTTGCGCTGCAGCTTATTTAAATTTTGTATACTAGTTGAAGCAATGGAGAATCTGTTCTGATGCATTAGTTTATTACTCTATTCATCAACAGATTTCATTCCTGGATTTTGCACAAAAATTAATATACATCTAGAAAAGAACACATTGTTCCTTAGGTTTGTTATGGATTTAGAATGGTCTATTTTATTAGTCCATGCCTCCATAGTAGTACTAGGAAATAGAAATTAATCATCAGAAGAGCAGGGAATATAAGTCTAAAGTATTCAGCATCATCTTGCAATCATCAGATGCTATGTTTGGTCATGGTTTGTAGAAATACTTTTCACACTACGCGGCTTCCTTTTTGATAATCCTCTGTTTCAGAAAAGTACATATTTGTATTCAACTTGTGCAGATTTTCGATTTTAAATTTCACATCGTCAGCTGTCCTTTTTCTAAAAGGTTTACACCCCGTTGTTTTCTACATTAACTTTCTGCAACATTCTGGGGGGATGGGTTAAGACTGACATACCGTCATACACAAGGTTTTTCAAAGAAAGGCAAGGACAAAAAAGTTCACAAGAATTTGGCCAGGTACCAAAAAATATTAATTTTTTCTGGGTACCAAGTAGTAATACCACAACTTGGGCTAAAACTTCTTACCTATACCATTTCATCATTTTTGCCCTTCTTTCTTCTCCCCTCTTCATCCCCTCACTGATTCTGGGAATGATGTACCTGGAGCAAAGCATGTGGCCTGCTGAGGCTGATGCTGTCTGAGGTCTACACTGTGGCCTGCAGCACTGAGGTGCTGGTTTCCATCCTGACCTCTGGCACGACCATCTTGGCATTGCTCTCTGTGTGATGCCATGCTCAGATCCTCGCCTCTTTACTGATCTGCTATGCCCTGCTTTGAACAGATAATTGGTTGCTTGCGAAAGGCTTGATTTACGTAGTGGATTAATTCGTAGTGGGTGTTGGTGGAATAGTAATTGTGCCTTTCATTAGCATGTTCTTGTTTTCTTATTTTCTGCTGTATTGATTGAAATTTGGGTCATAATGTGGAGCTTATGTAGTAGTCTTTCTAATGAATTACTAGCATACAGATTCTCAGATCTTTGTTATTACTATTTGTATGTTCTACCTTCTAAAGGGAGCTATTAAAAATCTCTCCATGGGTATGTGTGATTTCATAAATAGTTCACGTGGTTTCATAAGCACACGCTTTCAATTGCAATCTGTCTAATCAAAGCATCTGGTTGGTTAGGATCTGAGGGTTTATGTGCTAATTGTGTTCGATCTGATGGCTAGAATTTTTGGGGTCAGTTGGCATAAGCACTGCATTAGGGGTCAATTTTAGAGTTCACAAGGGTTTATCTTCATACCTTGGCCTGCTGATGTGCAATGGTTAACTGAACTGGCTGAATGCACTTATTTTTCTTAGTGGGGACCTGCCAAACTATATATTAAGTATAAACATTACAATGAAAGCTGACCAGGATACACAGAAATTCTGGAAAAGCCTAATTGTGGCCAGTTTTCGAAAATTTGATAGGGTCCAGAAACCGGTTTCTTTTGGTCGTGTCATCTTGCGCAACCTGATTTGTGCTTGCTAAGTTGCTATGAGCAATCCAAATTTACATTGACTAGGTGCTGTATATTTTAAGTCTTTTTATTCTTGTTGCACTAGTTATACTTATTTAACTTTTTGATAATACAATTTGATCATGACACATTCCTTTCTGGGTTCTTGTTAAATCAGATAATAATGCATGTCTCCCTTGATTGCAGAAGTTAGCAATCAAATGTTGGAGCTGTATGAGCAAAACTGTGCAGCACAGGCACAACCGTCCCATGGAAATGAAGCTGAAGGGAGCTCTGCTAGTGTTCCTAATCAGCGAGTCTCTGTAAAATCCGAGGAAACACCTCTTCCTCACCAGTCGAAACAGTCAAGTTCACAGCATTCAACAGGTGCTCCAAGTCATCATGGTGTCGAGCACTCAAATCTAGAAAAGCAAACTGTGGACCAGAAAATGCTTCAAAATGACAATGGTGACCATGGGAGCAACAAAACAAGAAGCAATCAGAGTGGAAGTAGAGTTGATTTTGGTGCCAACGATGGTTTACATCATGACAAACAGTCCATGACAGAAAATAAGAATCTTCCATCACATGGCAACTCCAGTGAAATCAGAGATGTCAACCGCAATGGCAATGATGGTACGAATGTGACATCCTTGATGGTAAATAAAATTGACAAGGATAAGGTGAAAGCACAAATGGAAAAGCAAAGGAAACTGAAAGGTGATGTTGCTAGGAAGGTAGAGGTAATAGATGATGATGATGATCTTGAGAGGCAACTAGAACATGACATTGAATTGGCTGTTGAGGATAATAAGATAAAGCAGGAGAGGAAGCAGAGTTCCCCTCATGTTATGCATCGGGGGGATCATAGAAATGCTGATCAAGTTACAGGCAATGGGCACCTTGGCAAGCAGAATACACCAGAGACTGCTCAAGATGCCCCAATGGACGACATTAAAGAACAGCGCAATTCCCATGGCTCAAAGCACCATGACAGTCATGATACTGCTCATGAGCGAGGTGAAAGAGACTATAAAAGGCCTCGGCCTGAAGGTTAGTTTTGATGACATTGAGAGATCATTTGTGATTTTGAGCGATGTGCTGGAAAGTGAGCACTTGGCTTGGAACTTAACATATTAAGATCAGCATATGTTACTCGAACATATGCATTTTCTGCCTGAGATCGCTGCCATGTGACATCAAAGTGGGCATATGCTGTGGAGTGACAGGCATAAGGATGCTCATGTTTTTACCCAGCTGTATACAACCTCGCAACTGACTGCAACGGGTGTTTTGCCCTCGATTTGTACTGGGGGACAGTTTGGGAAGAAACTCATGATGATAAAATCTGTGTTTCAACAAGTATTGGAGTAAATACACTGGAGAAAGCCTCTAGTTCCATTTGCGTTGAGTTCTTTCTTTCTTTTTTTGTTTTTAGGCGAATTTTCAGCGACGTTCCGTAGATTAGCTAGGGTTCAACTTTGTCCACTAGATGAATTGAATATGCTTTTGCAGGCTGTCTGCCCCTTAACTAGCTCGAGAAGTTGGCATTGGTTCATAACTTTGAAATATTTTAGCTTGTTCAGGTGGCGGTTTCTTCCCAACATTGAACCTGGATTCTCGAATGGAATGGCGTTCAAATGTTCTATCGAACTATGTGCATGGGGTGCAGTTAATGAAATGGGTTCTATTTTCCTCGTTTTATATGTTCTATCAGATTACATGCTTCTGTTGGATGATGATGGCTGGATAACTGGGTTCATGTTCGAAACCAATTGAGATGCAGTACTGCTCTCTACATGTGAAAATAGACCCTCACTGACATGTAGACCCGAGGATCTACGAGGAGAAACCCTATCGTTGGAAACAGGTTGTCTTAGGTCATCCAGGAGGCATCAGCCAACTTTGCATTTGTCCATTAAACTACTACTAAACCATTACTAATACAAACTATGGTAGCTTATGACGACAGCTTAAGTGTCATGTTTAGGACATTGATCTACCCATCTATCTTTAGTGATTTTTATCTCATCAACATGGAACAATATGATTCACAACCTAATCCTATGATATGATGATTACTCAGGACAGCTCGTAGGTTAATAATCATGGTTAAATTTAACATCAACTTCCAACCAGGAAAAGCATAAATGGCATAAAATCCCGTTACATGAGAGATCAAAATCTCAGTATGAACATGCAGCAAGGTGATTATCAGATCATGGTGCAAAAGAGGAAAAAAAACAATGCCACATCTATCCTTGGATGCCATCTTACAAGATGTAAACAAGACCTCTGTTATATGATCCCTTAGCGAGTGGATGGAATGCCGAAAATCCTGTTATATGATCCCTCAGGCGAGTTGCTGGAACGCTGACCTCCATTGTTCTCACCAGAGTATGCAATCAGGAGGCATCTTGCAATTGGATGTTTCGTGCTAGAGGGGAATGGCAGTATCCTCCTTTGCTGCAGATGATCCAATCCAGAGGTGAAAGGTAACAAGTGCCAACCATGCTGAGTGACGAAGGATAATCAGCTCAATGGAGCTGAAATGAAATTTTCCTCTACAATGGGTCACTGAAGTGTATAGCAAATTAGCAACATACTTCTATACATCAAATAATCAACAAATCGCTGCCAAAACTTGGTGGACTATGCCGGGCCTTTGTTTTTGGTTGATGTCATAAATGATTCGCCGCAACCACATTCTCCCTTGGAATTAGGGTTCATAAACACAAACTCAGACCTACAAGACAAAGAATCACTAATGGCAATTTGCAAAAGAAGAAAAAGAAAAAAGACGTTAAAATAACCATACCTAAGTGGATCATCAATGAAATCCATTTTGGTTCCAATCACGTGCATAAGAGCTTTCGGATCAATTAGTATCTTAACTCCTTTATCTTCCACAAGTTCATCGAATTTTCCCTTCTCATCTGAGAAATAATGAGCATAAATTACAATACTAGTATAAGTTTCATAAATTAGTCAGATTAACTGGATCGTTTGTAGCCAAACAATTAAGCACAGAAATAAGCCCATCTGTTAATTATGGCACAAACAAGTGACTATGGGATTGAAATAACTACACATTTTAGCAAGATGGTATAATCTCAGAAGCTGTGAAGAAGAATAGGTGTCATTCCAAATAAACATGCATACATATTCCTTCAGTGCCCAGTCACAAAAGAGAGACACCCTAAAACATGTGCAGGTAAACCATTGTTAATTTGGCTCAAAGGTACCTTTTGGAATATAAAGTTCATATATGGAATCAACCAACATCCTAAAAGGCTAACTTATATGTGCTAATGCTAGAGAGCTGAAAAGACAAGGATGTGAACAAACAAAGCCAAATCGCTCAATCCAGTTGAGAACTAATTTCATTTTCTAGACGCTTAAGTTCCACCTGATATTATTAGGGAAGCATGACCTTTGTAGACACAACAAATGTCCACTGGTATTATGAACTCAAGCTAATAACTCTTTTGTGGATAGTGACAAACAAATTTGACGGTTTTAACACATTTTTTTTACTCGAAAACGCAAGAGGCTTGCGCTTCATTTCATCAAGAAGCAGAAATATGTACAACAGAGGTGATCCATAAAGAAGGAACCCTCTAGAGGAAAAAAAAAGCATCACAAAAAGCGATGTGCAACAAAAAGACCTCCTAGGAGCAGCTAACCATCCAAAGGAAGCGATCACACAATAACTCATTGAGAGCCCTGGCTCCAGACATACACCAAAGAACACTCTCTCTTGCTACTGCTTGCAAGACAACTGTGATGCTGGGCATGGCATTAAAAGGAATTTGAAAGGAATATGATCAGATATGACAATTTTGCATCAAGCTCAAATATCAGGAAGCATCCAAGGAATTTAAGAAAGGGTAACAATGGAATTTACATCTGTCTTGACCACAGTTTAACAAGAGACAAATAGCTTATTCGCATACTCAAGCTAATACCTCTTTTATGGTTTTGACCTATCTTGTCACAAGGCTCTAAAAGGAATTTGCAATGGACATTATCAGGGAGCACCCAAATAGGAATTTCAGGAAGAGTGACAATGGAATCTAAATTTTTCCTCGCAACAGTAGAACAAGAGACCCAGAGCTTATTCGCATATCAAGATGATAAACAAGATCTAAAACGTCGGGGAAACCGAATACCAGCATAATTCATTGTGTACGACAACCCATTGCAACCACGGGCCTTGACGCCAAGACGGAGATAAGCACGCTGCCGTACGCCAAGCAGCTGGCGCACCCTCGACGCCGCTGCATCGGTCAGCGTAAGGGCCTGCTTTCGGACAGACGGCCCTGCCTTCTCTGCCATCGCCTTGAACACCGAAGAAGCCATGGCTTTTCTACAGGCACCGCCTCCTTTGTGATCCGAATCCAATTTGCTTAATTAAGCTGCAAAATCATAATGGATGGAGAAAGCAATCAACGCCAACGAGTATACATATATATACAACTCCAGTTTACATGTACTAGCTGAAAAAGGTAATTTCAGAAAGACATAAGATGAAATTGTTTGACATCTGTGAGGATTTCTCTTGGCGTTTACTACGCATCTAGTAACCAACCAAAGGACCAAATAATCCTCACCTGAATCACCTGAAATGATTAGTCTGATAAACAGGGGCATCGATTAGATTATTCTTTTGACCAAGAACAAGAACGTCTGATTTGCTGTCAAAGAAACGACCCGGTTGCCTATTCTTCCCCAACGAGAGGAATTGCACGAAAGATGGCTAACTTCTAGGTCGGTGATGCGGGTATGCGCGCCACACACACCTCGCCGCCTTCCCCACCCCACAGGCCATCCCCCCCCCCCCCCCCCCCCAAAAAAAAAAAAGTTTATCAGCTAACCTTGTCGCCGCGCCGGCGCCAGCCTCCTCCGACGCCTCTCCGCCGCCCCCACAGGGAATCCGGCGGCCTTTTCGCCGGGGATGGAGCGTCGCGCCGCGCCGCCGCCGGACGAGAGGTGGTGGCGCCGCCTCGGTGGATGGAGAGAAGGATGCGATGGCGGATTTGGAATTGGCCTCTATTCCGCTCTCCGAGTTTTTTTTTTCTTTTTTGGCTGTTTTTTGGTTGTTTTTTTTGACACGATTTCTCTCTTCCAAGTTGGTAGGAGATGTATAGGTAGGTAGGTCACTCTCCTCCTGAGTCCGGGCGGTGCTGGGACTGGATGCAATCAGAGCCGTCGGATCCGATCCGATCGACCCATATACTAAAGGCTCTGTTCATTTCCCATCCTTCCAACTTACTCTCATTTTCCACGCGCACATATTTTTCAAATTGGTGTAATTTTTTTTAAATTTTTTTTATAAAAAGGTTATTTTCAAAAAATCATATTAATATATATTTTTAAGTATTTTACTTAATTAATCATACGCTAATGAGTCTCTACTATCAAACACAGCCTAATACTTCTTAGTTTGTCGAGAATTGAATCTTTTTTACCTTTTGGTCATTTTTAAAAACTTATTTTACAAATGACATTGACACCAATGATCTATTTGAAATTAAAAAAAATATATACAATAGGTTTTTAATGACATCGTTATTAGCATCGAGGACATATTTATACATATTTTTTTATTACAAATATATCTTTTTTGAAATTTTTATAAGAGTAAATTGTACCCATAGTACAACAACTTGGTAGGTGGGTGTGATATAGTGCAAGAACTTAAGAATTGAACGTTCGAGTACAATAGCTTGACAAGTGGGTGCGTTCTGGTATAAGAACTTGATAATTCGATATTTTGGTGCATCAATTTGGCTAAGCATATGCTAGATGAATTTTTTCACGATGTCAATATGCCATTACATAGTAATCCTACGAATATTACCTTAAATATTGAATTTAATCTTTAAGAATTATATTGCACATATAGTTTACATCCAATTATCTTTAAGATTTTTTTGTTTTCTTTATCTTCTCAAATATTAACCGAAATATAATAATTTTTACATCCAGTTTAATTGACTTTCAGCTATGGATTATTACGATAAAAATATAAATATGCTTATACAAATCCACGCTAGTATATTGTCAAAATAATTACTTAAAAATGAATCTATATAAAAAAATTGCTTCAAATAATTAAGTTGTCGTATAACTTCTTAGTTTACTGTATCAAAATCGTACCTATTTGCATTTATACAATCATTTATAAAGTTCTTATACTAAATTACACCTACCTACCAAGTTGTTGCACTAGAACGTTTATTTCTCAAATTGTTGTACCAAATTGCACCTACCTACCAAATTGATGCACCGTGGATGCAATTTACTCTTTTTATAAATAGGTACATAACGTTGATCCCTTTCACATCAGTGACTTAGCTTCCACGGGAGTGCGAGGGAGACAACGCCAATATCATTGGCGACGTCATGTTGTGTGAAATTCTGGCCAATTATGATTTGGCATGTGTGACCCATGAAAGTTGTGTACGCATGTTTAATATCACAATGCTAGTTTAGCAATGGTGGAACTAACTTATAAGGGGTTATACCTCCAGCCATATCACTTCTTGTTCCGGGTTCAACCTTTTACCCGAAGCGATGATGAAAGTGTAAGTGGGATGATATGTGTATATGGGCTTGCTTGTCGGATGGGTTGGACTGCATGGTTCTAGAGGACGGGCCGTTACATATTGGAACAAGGCGCTGTGAAAAGGATCCATCGTTGGAATAAATTTTTCTAGGGGTATATTTGTAAAATAAGTTTTCAAAAAGTTGAAAAATCCAGGGGCAAGAAAGCTCAGATTTTTCTCCTTTTAAAATCACTCATGCTGCACAGATAATAGGAAAATAAAATAATAATAGTGAAAAAAATTGCTTATGTTTTCACTGTAAAGTATAGACAGTTGCTTCCCAATATATGGCTATATATATCTGGTTGGATATAGAGGCTGGGTTAAAAAAAGCCTTCTCTAAAAAAAAATAGACAGTTGCTTCCTCTGTTCCTAAATACTGCTACTCAACACCCTGCACTATTATTTCCGAACTATGACTACTACTATTTTAGCGAAGTTTGGTGTATGTTAAATATAACCATTTGATTTTCGTTTATTCAAATTTGTTGACTTGAAAATTATTGGTGATAAAAATTGAGTGGTACCGGTCAATGGTGTCCATGTAAATGGAATGGTAAATAGCCAACAAGGTAAATAATTTTTTTTTCTGCGGGATCAATTTGGTCCTTGATAATTCAGTTTTTCCAAACAAGTACTTAAAATCTAGGCAAATTTTGCTATAGGACATCGCAATTGTGTGTATTTAGCTCAGGGACACCGTGAAAGTGAACTTTTGGGGGGAAGAGATCCCATAAACGTGGATATTTGCTGATGGACACCGCGCCGTCTCCTCTCCACTTGACGTGCTGACGTGGCAGACGAGAGGCTTTTTTTTGACACGGTCGGACGTAAATACCCCTGCGCCTTATCTCCAAGAACACCCTCCTCATTTCTCTGCTCGAAGGTGTTTGATCCAATCTTAGAGACCTCTGGTGAGCTTCGTCGCATTTTATCCATGGGAACGTGAACTACTTCCTCTACCTGATCTAGCCATGTCCTTGCATCCTAATTAACCGCAGATCAAGCATATGAAGATGCGCTCGTCGGCGTTCTCGGTGTCCAGGGCGCCGCCGTGCGTCGCTTCGCCATTCCCGTCGACTCAAGCCATCGTTGACCGAGCCACTACGCCAAAAGCATCGCCGGCATCCTAGAAGGAGGTCTGCCGGAGGAATCGATCCGAGGCACTGCCGTTAAGGAGATCGAACCTTTCTTCCTCAAGTCCGGCCGCCGGCTCTTTCCTTCGATTCCTCGCTCCCGGGTGAGCTTTGGCGCAATTCCTCACACATGTAGCATCCTCATATGGTCTTTGAATCGTTTCCTTCCTCCCTTTGACAGCCCGAAGGCCAGAAGGAGCCGACGCTGTCGACCTGCCGTTCTCTGCCGCTGCTGGAGCATTTCAAAGGTCGCCATCACCGCCCATCCATCGCCGAACCTCAGACGACCTTCAGTGAATCTCCAGGAGCCTTGTAGCCACGCACGCATGTACTCACTCACATGGAAACGAGCCGGAGCTCGGCATGCCGAGAGTCACTGCCGCTCGCGTCGCCGCCGACAACTATTCCGGCCACCATATTGCACAAAACCACCACCTATAGATTCGCAAGGATGCCCTCTCCACTTTCTCTTTTAGCCGCATCGTCAGAACCGCCACCGATCGCCGCCGGCGTCGGCGACAACGTCGCCGAGTGCCATCGGCTCTGCCGCTGCTCTGTCTACCGAGTGCATGTGAGGAGATAAGGCACAGGGGTACTTACGTCCGACCGCGTCAAAAAAATAGCCTCCCGTTTGCCACGTCAGCACGTCAAGTGGAGAGGAGACGGCGCAGTGTCCATCAGCAAATATCCACGATTATGGGATGTCTTCCCCCAAAAGTTCACTTTCGCGGTGTCCCTGAGCTAAATACACACAATTGCGGTGTTCTGTAGCAAAATTTGTCTAAAATCTATTATTTGGTTCAACTTTGTTGGAGATATGGGAACGATGATCCATTGAATGCTCGGGGCACCATAGGACCCACCGTGTACAAAGTAGAAGATGAAGTGAAGTAACAAGTGTCGTCTTGAGCTGTTGAAGACGACTAGGGGACAACCGTTGCCTGGGACAAGCATCTATTACCTTGGGGGCCTGAGAACCACTACAGGTGGATCAAGGCCCCGATGACTATGCCAGGAGGACTCTTCAAGAGAATCTACCATATTAAGGAGATTTGACCTGGTCTTATGCGCTACCTTACCATGTCATTCTGCATTAATTGCGTAGTGATACGCATCTTATGGACATATCACGGGTGGTGTGGGGGTAACGAGACTGTGCATTTCTCCTCTTGCTTGCCCATGTTGCCTCGAAAAGAGGTCGTGTGACGCGGCACATGCTCAACATCTACCCCACGGGCCCCCCTTTCACTAGCATCGGAGGCTGACGGGCGGGTCCATTGACATTTGGGACAAAGACGTCGGTTGCCCCGCTCCATATATTGGCCGGTAGGTGAGTTCATCACATCTGGTCAGCCTGCTTGGATGGACAACTACAAGACCAAGCTAGCATACCAACCCCTTTGGGTTGGGCCCCACTTTTGTATGCATACATAGGCACCTGGACCCCCTTGATGTATAAAAGGAGGATCCATGCCACAGAGAGGGGAGTTGGAATTGGACAGACTGAAATAGGCTATAAGTTAGATTCATATATCAAACTCAGTGAAGAAGGTTCATTATCTCCTTGTTACAATAGGGTTCATCCTCTTCCACTTAGAACATATCATCATCCTCCACTGTAACATTGACACTATCTCATAGAGTAAGAACACAGGAGTAGGGTGTTACATTCCCGAGCGGCCTGAACCTGTATAAACCATGTGTACTCACTCCCATACGTGCCCAGTGCACGAGCTCGGAATGTGCACCCTGGTCAAACTCTAAAAGGGGTATCATGCCTTCCCACTAAAGAAGATCCTCGCTCCGACAAATGTAGTCATTGGACCCATAGAAAAGGCCACGTGGGTGTGACATATCATACTCATATATAATTATAGCAACAAAATGACCATTCTACCCTTACACACACACACACCATATTAAAGAAAAATAAAGAAAAACAAAACAGAAATAACGGGACAGCTCAAAATTGTTTCTATCATGAGTTATAGGTTCTTATTTTTGTTTTTTCTTTCTTTTTTAATACTATATATATAATAATAGAATGGTTATTTGATCATTACACTTACATACGAGGATGGCATGGCACACTCACATGGCCTTTTCCATGGATCGAAGAACTACTTTGAGCCAAATGCTAGTGACTAAACTAACCCTAGAGTGAAGCTTTAGGGCTCGGCTAGAAAACATATGAAGTATGAACAGGGTTCACAAAGCCATTACTAGCGGTTTTCGAAAAGAAAAACATTGAAAAACTTTTGGAAATGGATAAAATTCAGATAAATGTTATTAAAAAATTAGTTTACTTTTTTAATTTGATTGTGTTGATGCGAAAAACACACACTGGCCTGGGAGATCTGCTTAGCTCTAGT